GAAAGAACTTTCTTGATCGTTCTTGTATTCACATAATTCAATTCCATAAAATGGGATTGAGATGAGAACATAGGTGGTGATAGCTCCAGTGTGAGCATGTCTGTTTTGGTACTCCTTTGGATATGTCAGTCAGGTTAGCTTATCCAGTTCTAAGAGTTTGAGGTAAATTATACATAATAAAGATGTGGTGCTGTGCCAGGACACGCTTGGTTTCAGAGCACAAGCTAGTTGGCTTAGAGTGCTTCTGTGCAGCAGGCGTAGACAAAACTGAGCTGGCAGCATGCTAGCAGAGCCCAGTGCCAGATGCACAGATACTTAAGCTAGCTCTGGGATCAGTGTAGTGCCCTTTGCACCGTAGGGCCTGTTACTTAGGACTGCCTGAACATTTCTGTACTGCTTTTAAACTCAAGCCTGGAGTTGTGCTGCATGAACATGGCAGCTCAGGTGTCGCAGACTCCAGGATCCTAGGCATCACATTTTGCTGTTTAGCTGTGCCTGTGTTGTATGAATAGAAAGTGTTCTGAATTTCTGAAAAATAACTGTGTGAAGCATGTTAACACAGAATTGTCAAGCTCAGTGAGAATGTTGCTTACAGAGTATTTTAAAAATTTATTTAGCCCTTATTATTTTTCTGTTCTTGGTACACTTCCAGTCATCGAAAGGCTTTGAAAATAGGGAATAGTTACAAGTGTTTGTTGCTTATTTATCTCACAAATCCCAGTTTTTCTTTACAATCAATTTTTGTTTTTATTTTTACCAAGGAGCTGGTGAGTTGTCTAGTTTGGATCTGCAAGGTGATTGTATTATCTGTGATGTACTTTCCTTTTGAAACTGTTCTTCTGTTTAGCAGCCTCAATAGTTATGTCCACAGGGTGAGCAAAATTCCGGCGTTAATAGCACTTCATGTCATACATTTCATAAAGATACTTTTTTCATAAATCAATTTATGAACTGCTACTGTTTTGCCTCCTCAGCTGTCTAATTCTGCTGATTTCAACACACTGAGTGATCTTATAATGATCTTGCTTTCTTTCCAGAACCATGAGATTTTCATGTGCTATTCAGACTTTTTTTGGCTTTTGATGATAATTTTAGAAGGTGGCTTTTTCTCTTAGACGTATAAGTAGGTTTGAGATAACATTAAGATTTCCTGTATATTTAAATAAATGAAGTTATGTCTTGAGTTTACTTTAGTAGATACTGTCTGACTTGCTGTCTGTGGTTTATTTCACAGGAGTCTGTTTCTGAAACTGAGAGAATTTCTGAAGGTTCAGATGACCACTAGTTAGTAATCTACACCAACTTAATGTCAGCAAATGCCAGACAGGCTGCCTGATTTATGCATTTTGTGTTTATGGATCCCTAGAACCCATTTTTCTTCCCTCCCTCTTTCTTAAAATTGTTAGCTTGATTTTTCCAGGGTGGGGGATAAATTTTGGAGCTGCTTCCTCTCTTGCACATACTTTAAAAGGGACAGGTATGCAGAGTATGGGGGGGAAAAAAAAGTATCTTGAACTCCATTTACTGTAACTTAGACACTAGCACATTCCCAAACTTTTTATCCTGTTGTAGCTCAGGAATTCACAGAAAAAAAGACTGTATCTTGCTGCTGGTGTCTTAGTATCTTAAATGTGGATGTGTACTACAAAGGAAAAGCAAAAAGCTGACTCTTTAATCATTCATTAGTCTAGAACTGACAAGTTAAAAAGGAGGAGTAGCCAACTGATATACTTTAGATTTTTTTTTTCCATTTCTGATAGAGATGTTATAATATGGTTATGACATAATTCTGCTCTTGACACTGTAGGAAACATCTAACTTTTTAAGTGAAAATTTTTATTTGAGTAATGAACAGTTCTTCTGAGGTTGAAAATGAGCTTGGTGCTCACATGGAGGATATGGTAGAAAATGCAATTGAGTTGAACCATTTTACCTAATAAACTTGCAATATTTTGACAAGTCAGATCTAAATTTTCTTCACTTATGTCTGTTAAGTACTCTTTCTATTTTAGTAGAAAAAGCTATCTATCACAGCTGTGGAAGTAGAGATGATTTTTAAAAAAAAGAACTTGTGAAGAGTATAAAAATTCTGTAAACAAAATACCTTGTATCAAAAAACCTCACTGGTCTTGAAACTTTTAATTTATGTGTTTTCCTTCGGTCCTTATGCTTGATACTTACTGTGGAGGAAATCTAATGAAATTTTTAACTTTACAGGTTGCTACTCCAGGTGTTAAACAAGGACCAGCTTCACAAGCAGCACCTCAGCAGCCAGTAATAGCTGACAAGCAGGCAGGTCATGAACCTGCTTCTCCAAGAAGTCTTCAGCGCTCAAGGTATATTGACATACTTCTCTTTGCTGTACTCTGTTTTTGCTCTTGATCCAATGTATGTTGTATGTGGATTATTCTTTGGCCTATTTATTGAACATATGATTTAACTCTGCTGCTACTGAAAGAATGCAGCTAAATATCTTTGTTACAGAGCTAATGTGGTAGATTCTCTGTTTTACCACTACCACTAGAGTTCCGTTCACAGAAGCAAAATGGAATTAATATTTCTGCCCTGTCACTCTGGAGTCAGTTTTACAAGATTCCTTGTACTGTGATTTCAGAGTTTGGAATTTTTGTTTCTTTCTGTACAGTTATGGGATTAAATGCTTTTAAGTCTGTGTGGTTTAATTAATGTTAGCTGTTTGCAGTGTATTGCTGTAGTGTAATTTGATTTTTACATTAGTGAGAACTTTTGTCTATCAGGTGATTTTGGTAATTTGATTAAAAACATTAAAAATTAAGTTTCACAAATGCTTTTTCTTCGTCAGACTTTTTTTGTCAACATTGCAGCCTATTCAGACGTTGCATGATGGAAACATTTAGCAATGGATTTAAAAGGTGGATTTAGAATCTGTATTTTGTATGCTGTTTTTCTTTTGGAAAGATGGGCTTTTCGTTGTGTAGGATGCTGTGCACTTTATCATATTGGTTCCAGGGGCTGTAACCAAAGATATGTCAGAAGATCCTTCTGTGGTAGAGTCATGGTCTGGAACTGTGACAGGAGGAGATTGCGGGTTAACTTTTTAAGAAGTGCATCATCGCAATGGATCTGTAAATCTACAAGGTGTTGCTGCACTTCTTAAAAGCTAGATTTTTTAGAGTGGTTCAATAAGGTGTGTGGTATGATACTAAAAAAAACCCCAACCGAACAAAAACACCACCACTCCTTCCTTGCCAGCATACCTGAAACCTACATGGTGGTGCTTTCCAGATCATGAAATAGTGAGGTCCTTTTCTCTGCCCTTCTGGGACTAATAATAAAGGGGACCTTTGATTACATGTCATCGATGTGCTAACTTATTGTTAGATTTTCAAATCTGTGTTGTTTTTTGCTGTTTTTGTGGGGAGAAGGGCTTTGGTTTGTGTTTGGGGTTTTTGGGGGAGTGGGTTTCTTGTTTGTTTGTTTCCTTGGTCCCAGTGACCTAACCTGGCATAACCCTTACCCACATTGAGTTCCCTTTAGGGATCTACTAGCCCTCTCTCTGCAAACCATTGCTCTGCTTGGCATCAGCATTTTGCTGGAGAAGGGAAGCTGAGTTTGTCCCAGCAACTGTATCTCTGAAGCAGAGGGGTTGTGCAGGTAGCACTGTCCGTATTTGAGGAGGAGGCAGCACAGGGAGGCAGTGCACAGGTAGAGGAGAGTGTGCAGCCTAGTATCAAATATATTGTGACAATACTGGTATTGTTTAGTATTCTGTATCTCTCAAATTGTTACCCATTTGTGACTGTGGTGTGTTGTGCATCATGAGTTCCTGTGTTTCTGTTTATTTTGGAAGTGTCTCATTTACAAAAAAATGGAAAATGAAGGAACAGATGATTTGGAAAAACCTGTACGACTGGTGTTTTCTTCTGTTTAGTGCAGTGGAGTTGAATGAAAATGGACCATCTCAGATGGTACATTTACTCATCCACAAAACATATCCTGTGTCTGGGCAGTATTTCTGAATTGATACAGAACAGATTATTCCTTTGTAGGTGAAAGCAGTCAGACAAATGGGGGACTGCTCTTGGGGCAGCTCACTTTACTTTTTTGATAGGAATGAACGACAACTTAGCAACCTGAACTATGGACAAGTGGTTCAAAAAGAGGCTCCAGGAATTAAGGTTGCATTTTTCTACAGCTTAAATATATGTTGTGCAGAAGTTAATCACAACTACATTTCCTTTGCTTTTACTATTATTGAAAGTTTTAAGCGAATGGAGCTAAAATTATTTTTAGCTTCTTTGCGGGGAAGTGCTAAGAAATATGTGAATAGCTAGTGATAACTTTAAAGTTGTGATCATTTCAGCTATGTGAGTTAGGAAATTAATGCATTGTAGGCATACAGTGAGTCTTTTTGTATAAGGTGATTCCAGCAACACAACATGAATTATGGCTGTTTTAAAAATTGAACTAAATGGGTGCGTCCATAATTAATAGTTTCATGAGGTTGGTAGTTTCTCTTTGTTTCCAGAAAGTGCTGGGAATATTTTTCCTTTACCTTAGAGAAAGCAAAACTGCTGGAGGGGGAGTTGTTTCCTCCCATTTTTGGTAGGTTTTAAGATTTTGTAGTTTGTGGCAGTGTATTTCAGAACCATCCTGTAGTCATACTCTTGTACAGATGTTTTTGCCTCTCTGGAAGCATTCCATTAACTGTGGCATAGTCAGTCTTTAACTCATCCGGCAACTAAGGCAGGTATTTGGCTTTATTGAAGCACTTAAAAATATAGCAGTAGTTCAGAACTGGCTGTCATTACTGCGTTCATAGCTCCCCCTGCTGCTAACATAGCAGTGCTGGGATATTTTATGACCTTGTATTTTATTCATAATGAAGATACAACTTTATTTTTGAGAAATCCACAGATTTTATTTATTCTCCTGAAATGTTTCTGATGTGTTAGAGTGATTTTTACTGATGAAGTAGCAGTCGGAGAAGCCAGGTTGATAAATGGAGAGGAGGCAAGTCACGGAGGAACTTTGATCCTTTTAGAACCAAGGAGTGAATAAGCATTGCAGGTGGTGCCTCGCTTCTACTTAATAAATGTAGCCTTTCTCTGCACTATCAGCGTGCTGATGCTGTATGAATACATGGCATTATAGAGTAATTTAAGTTGGAAGGGACTTCAGATGAATCTTTCTACAGTTAAGGGTTTGCACTAGTAAGGGGTTTTGACGTAGTTGAGCCAATTACTGAAGGGAACACAGAACTCAAAACCCAATGAATACTTTTCCCCACAGTTACATCATATATACCCTTTTGCAACTTCTGCTGCCTGAAACCAAGGGAAATTTATGCATACAACTCTTAACAAAGCTGCCCGCCAAATTCTTTCTGCATTTTTTTTTTAAATTCTAAGCTTTTCAACAAATTTGGGGTGCTGAAAGGAATGAGGAAGGCTTTGCTGCAGAGCAGTGTGCTGTACCTACTATGTTGGCTGTTTGTTTGGAAACCTGCTCTAATTCTTTGCAAGTGTGAGTGATTAGGATAAATGGCTGGGCATTGGACTGTGAAGATAGTCGCATTATTCTAGGATGTTTTCAGTCCTCAAGGGGGTATGTAAGGTGATGAATAAGATTCCTCTCATATTTGGTTTTTTTTTTTTAATTACTTTATATTGCTTGCAGGCAAGTAGTAAGAAAGTTTTAAGAAGTAGACTGAAATTATGGCCTGTATTGAAAAGCTGCTACCAGTGGGAGAGTGATTGTAAATGTAATCTTAGGAGTAGTGGCTAGGTACTTACATAATTAGTACTACTATTTGTCAGTTATATGTAGTGCCAGAGAACATCGTAACTGTGAGGTACTGCCACTGTTACAGTGCTAGTGATCTTCTTTTGTCCTGGTTGAGATTATTGTTTTGTCTTTCTGTACAAGGATGGAGAGGACAGAGCAGACTGTTTTCATCCTGACCTGTCCTTGTCTGTGTTTGCATGGATAACTAAGTGCTGCTCCCACCTCTTTGCAAAATAGAACAGACTGCTCTCTGTGAGTGTGTGTGGGGTGGAAGTGATTGAACGAATGCTAGAAAAGAAAGTATGAGTGTAGAGGCCTTGTTTTTGCAAGCGATGGGGGGGGGCAGAAAAGGGCACATGCTGAAATGTCAGCTTCTAAGCTTCCCTACCATGGGTTATGTACGACTCCCAGCACAAGTTCTGGATCACCTGGACAGCAGTGCTTGCAAGGAGGGGACAACCCCCCACATTCTGATCCTATGTTTGATAATGATGATATACCAAATAGCAGTTTTGATTCTGGTGAAAATCACACTGAAGTTGTCTATTGGTGATAATATGGAAGTTAAAGAACAGCAATGAGCTCTTACATGTAGCAGAACTGAGTAGCTGCAGCTCTGGCAGTTGTGTTAGATGTGGTTGGATCCATTCCGTATGAGAGTGTAGTGTTCATGGTGGCCGTGATTGCAGGGCTTCTGGACACATGGAAAGTAAGTAGAAGTGATTTTTACATATTTTGGGCAAACTTCTGTAGGTTGTTGGGCTTAATGTTAGGTGTTCAGGTTGTATATCATAATTTTATTGAAGGAAGTGATACAAGTGAAACAAAAACCCTACTTCTTTACCTAGAGAGCTTACCATCCAAGTATAAGGTGGAGGAGGAGCATTTGCAAGTTGGGGAGTATGAGTTGTTGTGGATTCGTCAGTCATATCAGCTTAACAAAGATTTCCCTAAGTGGTACCCACCTTTAGTCACTGCAGCAGAAATAGGCTTTTATAAAGAGATGAAATTCTGAAGAAGGAGCTGTTAACGAGGCCCGTCCCCTACATGAGAAGCATCATGAGGTAGAGAAGAAAAATGTTTTGTGAGAGTGAGTGAGAGGGTAATTATTAGAGGAATGCAGTTTTAAAAAAACCCAACAGCATTGTTTAAAGTAGCAGATAGAATACTTTGTAGGTAACACAATCTTGAGAACTGTGGATGGCAAAAGACTGCTATGCCAAGATCAACATGAGAGGTTTTTAGTAAAAATTCAAGTTTTTGACCAAGAATTATAGTTGCAAAACAGAATTGGAAATGCTGTGGTGTAGTGCTCAGATAATGTAAATGTTGTGTTTGCTTGCATATGGAGACGTGAAAGAGGAAGGTCAAAGGCTTTGTCTAAGGCACAGAGTTTTTGATTGACCCTACAGTACACATATCAACTGAGCAAGTCTCCGTGCATCTGTTCTCCAGCAGCAGGTTAACACACCAAACAGAAAAACAGCAGCGTTATTATGTTCCAGTAAACAGTCAAGTTGGTAGCTACAAACATACTGTTCTCTTGAGGGCTTTAAGTGAGGATGTACAGTATCACAAAGTGACATAGGTGTTTGTGTTTTGGCATTAGTAAATTGTTATACTCTTCAAAGCCCATAGGGTTATATTGTAAATCAGGACATCAGGCTTTGTACTTAATGATTATGTGACACTTGCCAATATTCTGTTGAATAAACCTTGTTGACTGCATCTGATACATCATTATTGAAAGTCTTAGGTTTGCAGCTATTTGAAGGAAGAACATAGATGTATGTGTTCTCTATCCAACACTAAAATGTAGGCACAGCTTACATCACTTGAATGGCTATCAAAGTTAAAGAAAAAACCTGTAGCGCTCAAACAGTTCCCATATGAGTAGGAGATTTGTGGAAAAGCAGCAGAGGTTTGGTCTGCCGGAAGTATTTACTTGTGGTTTAAATGCCTTAAGCAGTTTTGTGGCTGGAAGCAGTGAATTTTAATTGTTTATTTCTCTATAGGCCTACATATGTTTTTAAATGCTCTTTTTTTTTCAATTCTTTCAGTAGTCAGAGAAGCCCATCACCAAGTCCAAATCATACCTCTAGCACTAGTGCATCAAATTCAACACCTGCACCACAAAATACATCTGTACGACCCACTTGTTCATTAACGCCTACGCTAGCAGCACACTTCAATGAAAATCTTATAAAGCATGTTCAAGGCTGGCCTGCAGATCATGCAGAAAAGCAGGTGAGTACACTTGTGCTTTGTTCCCTGTGAGAGTGCAAAATGTGTAGCTTAAAATCTGATTTCCTTAAGCAGGTTGTTTTTCTTAGCAATTAGAAGTATTTAAAAAACCCTGATGCTTGGCCTTAGCCAGAAGAGAGGAGAGGGGAGAGAGCTTAGGCCAGACCTGCAGGTTTTACATGTGATTGCCATTTAGCAGTTGCTGTTTTCAGTTTTGCCTAAAGTACCAGTGCTTTTGAAATTATCTTAGATTAATATCTGTCTTCATAACAATTTTTTTACTGCCAAAGTTCTGTTGAAATTTACAAAGAAGATAAATTTCAACAATTTTCTCTAATAATGATATTTTTGTTATGTGGAAAATGTTATGAATTGGGTGACAGAGTTAAACTACTCCACAGTTTGAGTCACTCAGTTGTTAGCTCTACACAGTGAAAAAGGAACTCTGCCTTGTTTGTTGTACCCAGTTTTTAATATGATGTAGAGGACTCAGACTGAATTTGGGCTATTTTTACATAATGGGAAATCCAGTAGAATTGCCATCCATATTTTATAACTTAACTGCATGAAACCCATCCTGTTGTGGTAATACAGGGAAACTGGATGCATGTCAGCTGCTTGGAATGTATTACTCAAAGGAACCATATTGGTTATTGAGTCTAGTTCAACTCCTTTCACAGGCAACCCTGTCTGACACAGTCTGTATGGGATATTAATCTTAACTAGCCCAGTTTACTTTGGTCTTTTGAAGAGTGGTTGCATGCTGTCTCAAGCCTATACTGGAAGCTTTTGCGTAGTAACTTGGAGGATGACTTTTACATGTGGAGTCTAGACTGATACCCTATTTGGACTCTGGAGTTCTTGTTTTGTTTCTTTTCATTGATTTTTTTTTTTAATTCAATTTTAAAACATTACCAACCTATACTGAGTCAAATGACAGAGCCATTGCTATGGAATGTGTGTGTAAGGAAATTGTGCAGCACAGCCAGTTGTCTCTGTGGCCTTGGCCCATGGTTTTGATAGTGTTATTTTCACTGTGTACTGAATTGACATACATCTTAATGCATAAAATACAGATTTATACAGGTCATAGGTAATTTTTCCCCACTGCCAGTAATAAAGAGATTTAAAAAAACAAACAGCTAATGCTAGGTAGTCATGTACTCAGTCACATACTTTAACCTTTGTGCCAAGTGTTGCATGCTGTATTGTCCTGACTGCTATTTCAGGTAATTTCACGTGACAGTGTTGTTCATAGACCAGTTTTGAATAGTAACATTTGAGGGACTTAAGTCAGATATTTGATAGAAAAAGTGAATGAAAGTATAGGTGCAATATATAGTGAAGAAGGTAAGCTAGATGGAAGTGGAGAGGCTAAAATATGCAGTGCCTTGATTTCTTCAGATTTCTAACCAGATGCAAGCTTAAATTGAAATTAGGACATAAAAGCACATGCCAGAGTAAACTGAAAAATAAATAAGTTAATAAATTAGGTGGGCCAACACAGGTATGTGTTAAAGTAGTTAGACTTGAAGAAATGTCCAGTGCAGCAATGAGTAGCTAAAACAATTCTTGAACCACTAGCAGTTATCTCACTGAACTCATAAGAAACAGTTCATATGGAAAAAAATAATCCAGTAATGTGATTAATTAGAAAATAATCAACATAACTATCTTATCTTTAAGGAATGTGAGAAATGGAATTGTAGGTGGTCTGAACTCAGTAACTGCGGAGGTACTTTGAGTACTGAACAATATCTAAGTAGAAAAAATGTTGAATTTACTTTTTTACAAATAGCTCAAAAGAAAAGCCTGATAATAGTCAGCATGGACTTTTTAGAAAGAAATTATGTAAGTTTTTGTGGGTTTTTTCGGGTTTTTTTGTTTTGTTTTGTTTTGATAAAGTATCAGGCTTTGGTAATATGGGAAGGCAGTAGATGTTGATAAATATCCTGATTTGCAGCAAGACTGTTAACACCTTTTAACAAGGATCTTGTAAGCAAAAAAATAATTTAAGGCCTTTTAAATGAGATTGCTTTAAGATGGGTGACTGGTCAGCTTAAAATGAAGTACTTTGAAAGTCATTATTGATAGTTTATTTGCTGGGAGCATTAGAGAGATAAAGAGAGAAACCCTTGATGCTGTGTAAGCACTGCTCAGGAATGGCTAAAACAGTACTGTGTTGTCAACACTGTTTTGGTCACAAATCCGAAACATAACTCCATCCCACTCAGACCCAGTACAGCAGAGAATAACATTGCTAAAGAGTAATACTGCAGGGAAGGATCTATTTGAATTTATTTTTTTTTTCAGTATGCCACTTGCAAGAAGTCCTCTTTCTTTATTGCAGTGTGATACACAGGACCTCAGAGTAATTATGCTAGTCTCCTTGGTGCTGTTGAGGAGTACTCTGTAGTCCTATGTCCAGTTTAGTGACAAGACTTGAAGAAACACACAAATCAGGGATAGGTCATGCTTTCTAAATGTACACTTCTGCTTATCTCCACCTGACTAAGTGGGGATATTAAAACAGTGGAATTTGTCTGGAAGAGAACACCTGAAGAGGGGTTGCAAAGTTGTTTTTCCTGTATAAGGTAGCTGGAAAGAAGATGACATTCAATGATTTTTGTCACTAAGGCTTAATTTACATGGGAAATTTAAGTCTGCCATTGAAATAGTGGACAGAGACTTTTAACTACTTGAACAAATTACTTTGGAAGCTTGGAGCCCTGTCACCTACTGTCTTTCAAGATGGCTGGGTAAACATTTGTTAGACTCAAGGAAATCTAAACCATCCCTGCCTTAGCATGGGTCTGGGTTAGACAGTGTCTTGGCAGCCAGTGTTGTTGATTTCTGATTCTAAATGGGCTTTTGTAGAAACTTTAATGTATTTCTGATTTAATTCCCTTTTGAAGTTAGAATGCTTTGCTGTTTCAAGACACGCTCATCCAGGAATCCTCTGGCTGCAGCCAGTTGTTCCCAGTCTGTGATTCAAAATACTAAACTTTACGTGTAACTGTTGCAGGCATCAAGATTACGTGAGGAAGCCCATAACATGGGAAGTGTCCATATGTCAGAAATTTGTACTGAATTAAAGAATTTAAGGTCTTTAGTTCGAGTATGTGAAATTCAAGCAACTTTGCGTGAGCAAAGGTAAGTGTGCGCTCTGTGTTTGTTTTCAAAATGGTAATTTTCAGTGTCGTATTAGGATTCCCATTCTGGCATTGTTTTGCATGAGTTATATTTACTGATGACTTTGTAAGTATGCTAATAGTTGCCAGGTTTACAAGTTGTCTTCCCTGTGTATGTTCTACCTGTTTACCACACAGATACCTCTTAGTCTCTAGTGAACAGAAACAGATATGCAACTTCTGTATATATTTTCACTAAGATGGAAAAGAAATATCTTTCCAGATACATAGGTGCATTAGGAAAAACTGATTAACTCACACTAGTTCAGCATACTTCTAAAACGTCTGTCCAAACATGATGCAAAGATCACATAGGTTTGTATCAATCTTAAACAGTACAGTTTGCGTGAGACATTTGTTAGGTCTAAAGCTGGAACAAGTTTGAAGGGGTCTCATTGATATCGCAAGCTAAGGAAAAAATAATGTTTGTTACTTAGGTAGGAGGTGTCTGAGAAGATCTTGGGGTTCTTTAGTAAGACTTTGATTATAGCAAAGTAGACTTCTGCTGCTACATCAGTAATAGAGGGTGTCTTGTGTATCACTGGAGCAACACACAGCCACGTTGTTAAAGACTTGTGCAAGATTGACACAAGTTCAGTCTTACAAATAGATGCTGAAACTCTTCACCTGTAGTCGTGATCCTGAGTCAGCTTTCATATTCAGTTTCCTTTTTAATGATATTATTCTAAGTCACACTACAGTTTGAATGCAGTGATTCTCATTTACTGTTCTAAGCCACTGTAATAGTTTTGCATGCTGTTTAAACAACTGTCTTTATCCTAGAAGCTCTTGCTTTTTGGCAGTTGGTGAAACAATCGTTGTAGTCAGAAGTAGACTATAATATATTTGTAAATCTTAACTAATAAAGATTCTAAAATGTCCTTTCTTACCAAAATCTTATTGTATAACTTCATTACATAAAGTACAGTTTCTGTAGAATATTTAATGAACTGCTTGGTTTTTTACAGATTAAATAAAATCTCCTAAGGTTTCATTTCTGTCTCTGGGTGCACATTTATCTAAAATAACATGTCAAATGCCATTGTTCAGCTCACTAAATAGCACCTTGTTTCTTGTACACTGTGTATCGTTAAGCTATCAATGGATAATGATTATTATGACTTTGAATCTATGATAACATGTATCTTTTATTTTTGCTGCAATCCCAAAAATGTGGAATATATGGCATAAGTAACAAGTTGGTGGGGGGAGGCTTTTGCAACGGATGGGATTATCAAAGCCAATACATTTGAATGATGATATTATTTCTATACTTTTGCATAGAAGAGAACTATTTAAATTTGTTCTGAGAGGGAATTTTATCTCTGGGCAGAGCACGGATATTGTGTTAACCGTAATTGACATCATGTGAAAAGTCACTTTTCATTGACTGATTTATTTCATATGCCCACACCTTTTATAAGGGAATTGCTTTTAATGGTGAAATATTTTGAGATTGGAGCTTACCATAACTAGACACTACCTTTAGAGTAAAGTCTTATATCAGCCACAGGGCCAAGTACTAGAAATGAAGTGTTGCACCTAGAAGAAAAATTCCTTGTTTAAAAAGATTTACAAGTGCCTTGGGTGGTTGTACAGTTGGAAAAACTCCATGACACAGGCATAACACCATTCTTTGGAATATTCAGTTACTCAGCATACTCTTCCAGTGTCCTGTGTTTTCTGGGAGATAAATTCAAGTGAAGAGCAGGCTTAGACATAACTGTGTATCAGTCATAATGAAATACAGCAGCTTAATTTTTTTAACTAAGGAATCAAATACTGCAGGTCTTTGCTCGTCTGTATGTAGTGTTTGTAGGTGATTGAATGGGTTGGGAATTCATTTAAAATATTTGAAATTTATTAATAGAACTAAGGAGTTTGCTATCATTTGCTGAGGTTGTGGAAGTACTTACGTAGAATTCAATATCTTTGTGTAACAAAAATGTTTATACTAATTGAACTCTTTTCTCTTGCAGGATACTATTTTTGAGACAACAAATTAAAGAACTTGAAAAGCTAAAGAATCAGAATTCCTTCATGGTGTGAAAAGTTGTAAACAATTGCACATGGTTTTGAGTACAGGAACTATTAAATTGATGCCCAGTCTTAACACTTTTGAGCTGCATTTGAGTAGACTTTGGACCGTTGAGCTGGGCAGAAAAAAAGTTGACATGGGGAAGGGGACAGGAGGGAGTCAAATTCAGGGGAAAGATACAAGAATGATTTGTAAAACCCTTGAAATGTAGATTTCTTGTAGATGTATTCTTCACGTTGTAAATATGTTTTGTAGAGTGAAGCCATGGGAAGCCATGTGTATCAGAGCTTAGACATCCAAAACTAATCAATGCTGAGGTGGCTAAATACCTAGCCTTTTACATGTAAACCTGTCTGCAAAATTAGCTTTCTTTTTTTTTTCTTTTTTTTTTTTTTTTTAGTTAATTTATCATTCAGAAATCTTACATTTCCTAAAATTCAATGCAAGCGCCAGGCGATGTGTGTCTAAGGCTGCAACAATTTGGGTAATGTACAAAATATAATGAAACAACTGTTACCACACTTGCACCGTATTGAGAGCAGTGCTTCTCCATTTCTGTTTTACAGAGAAATGTTTTTCATTTTCTGTGTTCCATTTCCCCATGAAATCCTAAATCTGATTTTATCAGTTTTTTAATGCTTCTAATTTTCTCTTTTCTTAAGGCACTGTTGCTATGGCACTTTTTCTATAATCTTTTCATTCCTGTGTACAGTAGCTTAAAATTGCAGTGATTGAGCATAACTCACTTGTTTGTATAAATTATTGAAACGTATTTCCATTTGCACCCTGTAAGAATGGACTTATAGTACTGCTGGGCATGTGTGCTGAAAGTACATTACTTGCTCAAATATAAGGAAATAGCCCAATGAACATGTTAACATGGTTGTGGGAGGGGAAAGAGGAAAAAAAAGCTAGTCAGATGTGAATTGTATCTGTTGTAATAAACATGTTAAAACAAAGAAACACTGGTTTTCATTTCCTTTGGTCAACACACATTAAAATTTGGTCTGTTTGGGGACTCTTAATTAGAACTGTTCTTGTTGAACATTTTTGTACTTAAATAATTCCTCAAGGGAGATTTTGTTTAAAACTTGTAAACAGGAAAATGTGTATAAAATATTTAATGAAATATAAAATTCAACAAGAATGATTTAAGACACCTCCCCAACAGTTGTCATATGTTAACTCCTGGTTTACCTGTCTTGATATTATGACATTTCATTTCGAAGGATGTTTGTGTTGTAGCTAACTGTTTAAGTCTGGTGCTGACTGCTGTTCTTAACCATCACAAAACGCTGAATTTGTGTAATTGGAGCAACCCACCGCTTGAAAATGGTGGCAAAGCTCAGCTTTGTATATTGTTTCCTAAAGTATATTAAAAAATAAAAAAGAAACTATTGCTACTACAAAATAAATGTGACTTTTTCTTTGCTTAAAAACAACAATAATAACAGTGATGCCAGTACTAGTTAAATACTGGCAGAGGTGCTTATGTTACAGTAGTCTCTTAAGTAAGAAAGATTGTAGGTGACAGAATAAAAAAAAAAGAGATTAATGATAAAGGTGTTGACATGTGATGCTACATGTTTTGTTCCTACAAAATACTGTCTTTCAGCACCAGAAACATTACTTGATTTTTGTTTTGCCTTGTCTCATGTTGAGCTGGCTCAGACTGATTTTTAAAAGCAGTTTTTAGTCAGTGGAAGCTGAATGCTGTGTCCTAACAAGACATTGCAAATGGAACAAGCTGAAATAACTAACAACAAAAAATCAGAAATCAGGACAAATTGACTTGTAGTTGTTCCTTACTTTTTAACCCAGTATGTGCTGTTGTGTTTCATATCATGCAAATGGTTGGTTTTGCTCAGAAACTGGAAGTAGAATAATCTTGAATGAATTAACTTTTAACATGCATTGTTTCTGCATTTTTAGAGACCCAAGGCCAAGTGACAGAAGGCTTCCTGAGACTCTTGTATTTGCCTAATGTGCTGTTTCCTGTAATGCTCATGGTCTTGAGGTTGCTCAAGTGTAGGGCAATAGCATGTGAAATGGATGGACGTACACCACTGTCTGTCCTTAGTTATGGTATTTTGCTGTTTAGTTACGTGATAAGACAGAGATTGCTTCTGTCTTAATAGATATTTTGGGCCTATTTCCCATGAGCTTATTTTGTTCCCTTTTGATTCATATATCACCCTCTGTAACATCCTGTGTCAGTGAGCTTTACAAGTTAATTTTGTTCTGTATAAAATCACTTTGGACCTTTTTTTTTTAAGCCTCTGGTTTGAATGAATTTTCTTATACGCCTAACTGCTGCCTGTGATCTTATTATTCATTGTTTTACAGAAGAGTCTCTCTTCCGGCTTAAAGAGTACTAGGCTGTTTTATCACATGCAAACTTTCATAATGCACGAATGGTCACAAGTAACTTGGGAGTAACGAGGATTAACATTTTACTTTAACCCCTTAAAAATACATGCATACATATACATTCATTAGACAGAGACGCGCGCTCTCTCTTCAGGTGTTGTCCTCCCTAGCTAATGCAATAAAGGCTGCTACTTTGTCAGCATCCAGTGGCATACTGAAAGCTCGTTGGCTTGTGTATTTGCTCACCATGCAATAGCTTTCCACCCCTATCCTCCACAGCCTTCTACAGCCTGGAGCTGGTGTTAGCTGAGGAGTGACAGCTTGCCAAACTCTTCACTAGCATCAGGCAAGCTGGAGAAGAGGATTGGAGGCACTGCTGTAAAGGTAGATGCTAACCAAATGATGGGGACTGAGTTCATGTCCTTCAAAATGGCTTCACAAATATAAAAATGCAATTTTGACCTTACTGTGTGATCTGGAGACCCTCTTCAGTGACAGGCAGAAACTGGCCTTCTGTATATAGCCTGCGGGGTGGGGGGTGGTGGGGGGAACCTCAGGTTTTTCTCCTTCCTAACAGATCTCTATCTGAAGCTGGACTACAAAGAAAAGGGCAGGTGCACTGAGAGCTGTTACAAGATTACCAGGTTATCATGTATTATGTGTCCTGAAACGGATGCTATCATTTCAAATGTAGTTGACATTGTTTAATGAATTGGATCGTTCTACACCTGCAAGTCAAATCAAGTGAATTTCCTCTGGGGCAAATCTTGTTTCCTTCCTAGGCAGGTGTTCAGAAATAATTTATTGGATTTGTGGGATGTGTTTTCTATATTAATTACCTGATATGGGTAGTCAAGGAATAGTGATGAGAAACTGATAAAAGAACTTGTTGCATATGTTGCTCTTGCTTTTCCTGTTATGCATTTGTTAACTATTTTGTATAATAGAGGTACGGTCTTTAGAACTACTTAAGAGATTGACTGAGCCTGTACAACCATACTGCAAGCAGTGCAATTAGGATAGTATTTTATCATCTGTGGTTGCATGCTCAAGGAACTCCAGCAGAAGGAGGGGTTAATATAATTATAAAACCACGTGACTGATCCAAGGGACTCCCATGTGTGATGCTTTTACAGTTGTGCCATCATTTGTAACTATTAAGGCTCTCTGATATCTTTGAAGGTCTGTGTATTTTTTTTAAACTGGCCTTGATCCTAAGATGCTGTGGTCAGATGCTCAACTTTGGTCAACTTTCCCTGCTTAGACTGATCTCTTGCAGTGATGCAGTGTCTCCTCTTCAGACTTGTTTTATTAATTCTATCTCCTTTGGTAGGAGCATTGCGTCTTTTGATGGACACCAGTGCTGTCTTTACTGTGGCAGTTAAAAACATAGAAAGGGTATGTCAATTGGGGCCAGAGAGAATTAAAAACATTTCCATTCTTTTTTTGGAGCAGCCTCATTGCAGGAGTATCCCCAAAGGTATTTGAGAAAATACTGGGTAGTTATGCCACATCTCCTAAGTCAGAAAAGGCCATGTCTTACTGTCACCCTTTCATTCTGGTGTCACCCTGCCTATGATGATATCCTGAGGACTTACCACAGCAGAGCCCTTTGTTGCTGTGAGTTTGGTCAACTTTGCATATTCTGCTGAAAGGAAGGAGTGATGTGCCCTAAGCATCGCTGTCACCATGCTTTGGGGGTACTCGTGAGTCAGCTGCGTGTAAGGGGCTGTCACTTACTCTATACCTAAATTAACATTTGACTACTATATATTTCAAGTCCATTCTTGGAGTTGGGAGCTGGATATTTCTGTGAATACATTGCCCCTATTGCTGTTCCTGGAATAATAATCTGTCCTCGCCAAAACACAATCTGATTTACAGACGTAAGATGATAATGAGGCAATTCTGGATGTTTTAAAAATACTGCCTTGATTTTTGAAAGTTTCCTGCAGAGGAATATTCTGAGCTAAAGTGCCATCTCATTGACATTAGCACTGCGCTTCTGCCCATAATTAATAATTAATAATATGTGGGGGTTTCTTTTGGGGTTTTTTTGTTTGTTTTCTTATTTATTTTATATTATTTCATAAGAATTGGAGCTTTTGATGTAGGAGGAATTTGTTTCTTTGCCCAGCCTAACTTCTTCTTTGGCAGTTGTTCTCTTTTGCAGTTAGTCAAGCAAAAGCTTCCATTTGCAACTAAGGTCCATATATATGTTGACTTCTTTTGCAAAGAAGATTGTTATCAGCTGTGATATATTTTTGGATTCCAGTTAAACATCACACCTTTTCAGATATTTGTTAAGTTCCTTCATCTTCTACCTCTTTAGTCTCCTACAACAGGCATTTGGAAAGAGTCAGTCTTTCATAGCTGTAGGCACCAGCTCTATTCTTCTAACCTGCCTGGATGCCTGTGTTTGCTGGTGCTGCACTAATTCGCCTGGAATTGTGCCTGGAATCGTGCCTGGAAGATGGTCCTTGCTACAAATTTCTCTATTTCCCAACCATGGCTTTTTGTTTGAAGATTCTGAGGGAAAGGACTGATGTAGACTTTCTGGCAATTAGGGCGCCAGCTAGCTGAGGATCTAGAAGTAATGAAGCACTTTTTGTCTCCCCAGTAAAGGCACTAACCCGTCTGATCTAGGACTTCCTAAAGAATGAGCTGTCAGGTTGTGTCTCCCAGAGGTTCTAGTGTTGTTGCATCCCAAACATGTCCTGCCTGGAGCAGCTAGGTCATATGGCAGCTGTACTGCATGGCTCCATAACCAGACTTTGCACACCAGGTTTGCAAACATGGCTTGAACAACCGTATCTTTCCAGCAATTATTCAATGCATGTGACAGTATTTTGCCACCTTCTGTTAGTCACAGCTGCCAGAGAGCATTTGCAAAGGTTGCCATCTACTTCTGTGAGCAGTGCCATGCTCAAAGATGAGTCCCTTCACTCCAGTTTGAAAACTCAAAATTTGGGCTGAATGAAAAGTGTGTTAAAATAGTTAAGCTCAGAATGGTCGGTTATTGCTCATCTTCCCTTTTACTGTATGCTACAAGAAAAGTAATCCAGTTAATTCTGGATAATACCATTGCAGACATCTGCACAGTAGCTGAATGGTGCAAGTCACTTATGTTGATTCTCTTCCTCTCTTCCTCACAAATTTCTAAAATTGATACATGGAGGCCTGTTAGCATGTTGCCTTTCAGAGCTCTGAACAGCTTCCTGCTCCTGCCTGGCCAAGCAGATTTGCTGTCAAGATCTTACATGCTTCTCTGTCCAAAAACTCTGTGATTGGATCTTTTTTTCAGTGTAATTGGGATGCTGTCGCAGTTTGATCACGGTTCCTGTTCTTCTGCTAGATGTGTCCTCGTTAGCAGCAGAAAGCTTGTGTAGTAGGAAGGGTTATTTGGCAAAGTGACTGAAGCCCGTGGCAGATGGTGCTACAGAAGGTGAATGTGTTGTCAGCAAGTCTGGACTCCTTGATGGTGCCAAGGGGCTCTGATGTCCATCAGCTCCATCCGGGTTCCTTTAGCTGCTGCTCTGCATGCTCAGAAAAAAGGCTTTTTCCTTCTTCCACATTTTGAAAGGTTTAACTGAACTTTTTCTTCTTCTCGGGGATTCAATTCCACAGTATGTTTTCTATCTTTTTTGAAATTGAAAAGCTATTAAACCCCTGACAGCATGTCCTTGTCTTCAATTGCTAAATAAAACTGGCCTTCTGCTTGCAGTAACATTGCCAGTAGAAGCATGGATAACTGAACCTCTTGATACTATTCTTTCTTTGGGACA